GAATGGCAATGCATCATGGACAAATTAGGTTAACATCGAGCATCAAGTGATTAAGGTAGATATTTACTATACGTTAACTAAATTTTTTCGGCAAATGTTGATATGTAAGTCTGCTGTTAAGTGTATTCGTGCTAGTTAATGCGAGAGTTGTTAATGATCTCGAAAACTTTTCCACAATGATGTAGACGTGGTGAGAAACATTGACACGTTTTGGCACGTTGGAATGTGCTTCTTGAGATATTTCATAAACCTAACTTTTTTTTTGCACTTCCTCAACATCAGCTCTATCCTTCAGTAACCCAACAATGACTCCATTCCCCCGTTTAATTTTTTGCGTAAATTGGCTTCATTTTTTACCTTAGCAATATCCTCGGTGAGACTAATATGGTATTTACGTCACTTGTACATGAAATTCCTTCTGAAGCATAAAGGAGAAAATACGAGCCGTAGTGATTATTCCGTAAAGATAGTAATAGTCATATCTTCCCCGAAATGACATCAGCTTTTCGTTTTTCCATTAGTCAGGCGCATTGCATATTATTTTATTGGATAAAACAGTTAGTGTGGAATTAGCAACATAGCAGTAGGCTTACCACCCTGAGCGAATCCAATGGCGATTTGATATGACTTACCGTCTGTGATACAAATTACCGTAATTTTTTGAACACTGTGATTACATTGTTTTTGACATGCATGGAAGATACTTGAAATATATTCACAACGCATAGCTTCCTTGCTTCCGACAACCGTTCCCATATTGCTTATCCTACGTCGTATGCCCTTAATGCAAAGGCTCAATTTTGTGAATTTCTTTTTCGTAAAATAGTGAAGGTGGAATATCGAAAAGTTGACCAGCTTGAATCCCGTATTTTGCCAGCACTCCCCTCTTTGAGGTCTTTCTGAATCAGCAAAAAGATGTTAATACAGAAAAGCAATATGGTTGAAGTACAATCATTGTACTCTCTGCACCTTTAACTAATTTCTATCACCTTGTTGCCAGACCGTGAGCAAGATTGTAGGATGGTGAAAGTAGTGTGTATTTAGTTAACCATAAGCAGCGAGCTTGCTTTCTTTTGAATACAGCAACATTATCATTATCGAGAAACAGTCGAAATTAGGTAGTAGGACTTCAACTTTACAGTACAAATAACCATAATAATAATATTATTATTACCTTCGTCTTAGATTAAGGATATTACAACAAATTTGCCCACTATTTTACGTATGTACCTTCAACATATCAGTATACAGTAGTGGCTGTAAACGGCCAGTTTGCTGTTTGCTACGGAATTATAAAAATTTACGCCTCAATTATCTAGACAAGTTGATGAAACTCATGTACTTTATTACTTAGATGTCGAACACCAACTTGATTATTAGATCACTTAACATACAGAAGTGACGAGTTGAATAGTGACAGAAATTTTATTATATAAATAACCATTCCTAAAACTGGAAGCGAAATTACTTCCCTGGGGATTTATCTTCTGTAATAAAATATTTATATCCGTTATTTATGGTGTATTATTGTTGTTTTTATCTTGTCTTTGTTTTTTATTTCGAACATGTAGAGTTAATAAGCATGTTGCCGAATATTGTGTAACATCTTTGACGCTAACAAAAGTATTCCGTTATTATTCACTGAACTGACACTTTGCATAGTATCTTTGCGACTAATAAGCAGGTTGCCGAGTCTCTCTTTATCGATGCTTTGCGTAATATCTTGACGACTATTAAGGAAGCGTGAAAAGTATTCAGTTAGAAAGACTGCTTATAAGGTCTTATACGAACTAATCTTTATTAAGTAGCATAAGCTGTTGCCAATATTAAAATTAATTATTGTATCTAACTTTATTTATGCAAAACAAAATGGCTATCGGACGTGTAAATAACGTCTTTTTATTAACCGTTAATTGCGACATGATACTTTTTATAGTAAATAGAATGTAATGCCGCAATTTAGACGATTTAATTCGACGGTTGGGTGTGAACGCTTGACAAGATAACTGTATTATTTCCAAACCGAGAATGCCATCCGATCTTGGAAACCTGCCCAATTAATCGAGGAGACAAAATGAGTACTTTTACGAATTTCGCGCTTTTTATTATGAATCAACGCTAAAAGTTTGGATTTCTGTATACGGGTCGGGTTTAAATTTGGATTAGCGAGTTTCGTTCTCGATAATCCGAAGTGCTATTGAATCTAACAATTACTTGATTTACAGCTTAAGTCTTTATAATTCTATTAATTACTATTGTCGTAAATGTTTCACCTGATAACATCTAATTATATTATCTCACTTTGAGTGCAAAAACTGTTTTGCTTACATTGTACCTCAACTACTTTAACCATTCGATGTAACGCTCTAATATCAATTACAAGGCAATGATTGATGTCGAATTTTGTTGCATATTCAAGCTAACGGAATTTGGGAAGGCTTGTCTTTTCGAAACGAGATGGTGGTTTAAATTTTATCAAGATGATTAGTTTTTGGATATCATGCACGGTTGATTCACTGATGTCGCCAAAGTATTGTTCGTAATTTTGGGTTTTGCTTAAACTGCATAACTTGATCTTGTCAGCAATCTTTAATTCTTTCCTTCTCATTATGAGACAAATAAGAGATCCGTTATAGTTAAGGTCGATCATGTGAACGCGTTGGTTACACGCCGTAATCCGAAAAGTCCGATTTAATAACACTAAGCAACTAAATCTTTAAATCTATCTTGCCTTACTTCATAATGAACACGTCTTCAAGCGCTGCGGCTAACGAAGAGAAACTTGTCGCCGGGAAGAAAAAAAAAGACGCAGGGAGCGAAGCTTTTAAGAAAGGAAATATGACTGAAGGTATGAACGACAATTACTTTATGATACTGTCTAGCAAAGTCGGCAAAAATGTTAACACCTCTTCTATGGTTTAATAACGTTCAGCTTTAAGATATTATCATGAGGCAAGTATGTACTTGTATTGAAACGAAGAATGTGTTATCGTAATTGCTTCGTCTATATCTTTAGTTTTTGTTTAACTTTTTTTGTAGGCGTTACTGTGTCTAAATGGTCTTCAGAACAACAAAGCTTTCGCAGTATTTCGAAATGAGCAGCAAACGGCAGAGAAAGATCCTCTTCAACAAGAAATTCAGAAAGTCATTAGCGTTTTATATAGCAACATGGCAGGCATGTCACCGTTCGCTGTGTAGATATGGCATCCGAGTCATTCACTGTCACATGCTCAAATTCTTTTTAACCCTCCAACGTTCACAGCTTGTCACATAAAACTTGAGCGATGGTCGCGAGCAATTGACTGCGTGAATCAGGTTGGTTACATGTTCATGTACTAATTTGAATGCCATAGTTGCGTAATTGATACTGATCTTAAGAGAATAATGTAACAGGCGTTGAAGAATGACGCAGATAATACAAAAGCTCTCTTCAGACGAGCTCAAGCGTACATCCAGGAAGGGAATGTCGTTGGTGCGCGACAAGATTTGGATAAATTGAGCAAAAACAACCCGGACGGTAGGTGAAAGAAAGAAAGAAAGTTTGTTTGTTTGTTGTTAAAGGGTCACGTCATATAACAGCACGATCCATGACTAGGATAATTTTTTCCTATATTTGACATTTCATATTCGCCAAGTTTATTATCAAATTCCCATGACATTCTTCTCATAACCGTTTACCCATCACTTTGCAGATCCTGCCATCAGACGCGAGTATCATAGGTTGCGACAAAAGGAAAAGGAACAAGATCGCAAACAAGCCAAAGACCTTAAGGGACTCTTTGCACGAATGCAAAAAGAAGATGAGCGCGAAGAGGCCGAAAGGGCAAAGGCAGAAAAAGAGAAAAAGAGTGCAGAAAGTGAGGGTGCAAAGGTTCAAGAGACAAACACTGACGAGCCAAAGATTCAAGAGATAGACACTGACGAGCCAAAGATACAAGAGATAAACGCTGAAAGTACAGAAGAACCGAGTATTGATGAGCCAAAGATTCAAGAGATAACTGATGATTGAATAGATCGAGAAGAGGACAAAAGAACTGTAGAGTAACTTTCGAATACTAGGTGAACTCTGGTGAACAATTGCTGCTGTACGTCAGTTCATTCACTTATTCTTTAATAGCGTCTAAAACTTTTTGTAATCTCCGTATACAAATATCATCACCCAAAGTATGTATGGTTTCTGCAATGTGGGCGCCCACCTAAATAATTAACAATAATTACTGGCTGGCTTTAATCGATTCAAACATGGAACTTTTCTTCATTACCTGAGTTCCGGTGATAATATATCTAAGAGCTGACTTGACGTCCTTTGGATCGAGTTTGGTATCTTCTATGATACTATCAATAGCGGTCTTGAGATTATCCAATGTGAAATTGTCTCCCCTTATTAAATTCAATTTCTCCAACGCGTTTACGGCAGCGGTCCCTAAAACGAGATTGCACATAAGCTTATCGTGGCCAACTGATAACAAAATAAATTACCGCCCCTCCCTCTCTTTCTTACTCAACGTCTCATCCGCAATCTTGGATCGAAACCTTTTAGCGCTCTTTGTGTCGTAGTCAGGATCGACAAAGAAATACTCGCATAACCTTGGAATATCATTGACATTGCGAATGCGTTCCTATTGATCATAGAGACAAGTCGGGCAGCTTTAGGTATACAGTAAAAGCAATCATAAAAGTAGACGTATTTAATCACATACCTTGATTGTATTTAGAACTTTTGCAAGATATTCATTTCCTAATCGATATTCGCCTTCCGATCCACTCAATCTAAGAGAACGAAATTGTATCAATGTCACTGATTCCTTGTAAACGTCTCTTACTGCTCGTCGACTTGCCTGCTTTCGTACTTCTGTCTGACCATTATTCCTAGCATCGCCACAAGTTCGTCTAATCCTGCTGGGGTTTCGGCTTTACGTAACAGATGTTGTTTGTTTAAAAAGTCCAATTTTTCGTGCATTACAATTGCTGGTGATTTATTCAAATGCTCCAATGAGAACTTGAAGCATTGGAGATTTACTGCATCAGTATACGTGTCTACGGCATATCTGGTATCATTTCGCGAAAAACTAATAGTCGCAATTTTATCTATGCGGGGCAATAGTAAAATGGCATAACGCTATTCTTGAACTAGACTGACCATTAGCTGCTCTTTACGTCTACTTTTGTCCGTCCACATGCACACTATCATACCTCTCTGACCATATCGTCCAAAGTCATCACCTCATTTGCGCTCGGCGGATACCATCCCAATAATGCAACAAAGTTTAAGACTGCCTCTGGCAAATATCCATTTCGAGCAAAATCTTCTACAGTCACGTCCCCTGAACGCTTGGATAGTTTTGTCCGGTCTGGATTAAAAAGGAGTGGAACATGGGCAAAGTATGGTGGATCCCATCCGAACGCTTGGTATAGGAGAAGATGTTTTGGTGTGGAGGGGAGCCATTCCTAAAGTAAAACGAAACAGAGAATACTAATTATTCCAGCACATACGAACGCGAGAGAAAGGACTCGTACAAACTAAATCTCGTGTTCGTTAATAGACTACCTCGCCACGTATTACATGAGTGATACACATTAAATGGTCATCAATGACATTAGCCAGATGATATGTAGGATAACCGTCACTTTTTAAAAGTATAGCATCGTCTACGGTCTTTCCACTAAACTTGACCGGGCCATGAACCAAATCTTTTACTGTAAATCATCGTCCGGCACCTAACAAAATATTAAATATTGGTGACGTTCTGTATATCTTAAATTACAACATCAACAAAGTAAAACCGACCTTGAGTCGAATAGTATATGGAAGTCCTTGCGATATATTTTCATCTATTTCTTTGGCAGTCAAATGTAAGCAGTGTCTATCGTACACCTTCTCCCGTCCACTCTTCTGCGATTCTAAGCGAACTTGTTGAAGTCTCTCGTGAGTACAGAAACATCTATAAACTTTGTTTTCCTAAATTAATACAACAAATAAATGGGTTCGAGATGAATACATATTTTGTAACATCGTTGTAGATAATAGAGCTCTTCTAACTTACACTGAGCAATCTATTTATGTGCATTCTGTATATGTCAATTCGTTCAGACTACATCAAGTAACTGCGTCAAGATGAATGTCAAACAAATCGTAACGTTCAGACACAAAAGTCCACGCACTTGACGATATGGTCCATGCTCTCCTTTACCAGGTCCTACAAATTTAAAAGTCCTAATAAACATCCAACCGTTCCATTCGTCAGCACACCCCCACTCCCCCACTTTTGTCGGAACCTTCATCATATGTCAATCCGGCCCATTGCAACGTCTTCACCAGATTCTCGACTGCTCCGCGTACGTAACGCGTCTATTTGTGGAAAAAACTGGGCAAATGAATGATCAGTTGGGTAATGTGCAACGCGCGAGCAACGATATATAAATATTTCGCAATAAGCCTAACGAATGAGTGAGGGGACATGACATGCTTACCCTATCTGTGTCTTCTATCCGAAGGAGAAATTTACCGCCAGACTTGCGGGCAAAGAGGTAATTGAACAAGGCAGTGCGGAGTCCGCCGAGGTGAAGATAACCTGTTGGACTTGGCGCAAAACGAACGCATACAGCCGACTGTTTGGGAGACTGCGCTTGAAGCGTATGCGTATGCGTACAGGCATGACGAATGATAAAAACGAACGACTTTGGTGAAGGGAATTTACTGCAGCCCTTTATCCATGGACTAACTTGAAGTATCCGCATCGTTATGCGTCCAAGGTATTACCGTAAAATTATTTTTTGACACTTTTTTTATGGTCGCACAGCCTCAGCTCGACACGTTGAATTTTGGTGTGTATTAATAAAAGCTATATTTATTATCTTGGAAACTGCTGTGGATTTTGTTGCAAAAGTGTGACTTTTTGAAAAAAAAGGGCTTGGATTGAAGATAGTAATGGCTACTGCTGTTCCGTAGGTCTTAAGATAGTTATTAAATAGATATGAGTTGTAATTACTACAGCGAAATCGCACGATTTGCAATTAGATGATGTAAATTCTATCGTATGTTTAAACTTAATATGATAACCAATTAGTATAAATGACAAGTAAATATAGTAGGATTACTGCGATCCGTGTTAGACTCGTTGGTGCGAGAAAACCATCTAACATGTAAGTTTGGTTATTGCTGAAGTGAGCCAGGCACGCAACTAAATTTTAATAATAATAATACGCTCTCCAGTTGACTCGATTTAACAGGTTACTGCAGTAGTTATAATCTTTTATACGGTACGTAGTTTTAATTAATATACTGACTTTTACATCTTTTGATTTCAAGTATGAAGATCACGCCATATTAATACTGTATTAATATTACGATTAATCCTAATATTAAATATGCTGTGCGACCATAAAGTGTTTGAATTATTGACTATAATTTTTTGGTCTTGGTCAAATGTCGATCGTCCTGAAAAAGACTAGTATGTGAAAGACCCTTACAAATGTATCGTTCATGATTCCGCTATATTAATATCTAGACAACAATTTACTAACAACATTCCGATAACTATTGACAATAAACAATGAGAAATGAATAGTATTGCTCTACAGTTATACAGAATGTTAATTTTACATTTTACTGTTAATATATAATAATACCTTGTCTATGCCAAAGCGAGAAAGATTGACTATTACGTTCGAAGAGCAGTTTCAGATTTCGTAACAGTAGATTCAATTATGCACGTTAATCGAATCTACGTTTCTGATTATAGAAATTACTCATTTACTATGAATAAAAGTATTCTTAACACAATGAATTAGTCGAAAAATCGCGCGCTTTTTTATATTTAATGCTTGTTGCCAGCAGTGTAATATGCCCCTTTTTTTGCACAAAAATGACATTCTATTTTAAACCTTGGAGATAAAAAGGGAGAACATCTCAAACAGAATTTCTGATAAAATTAATATAACAAATTTTTGACACGTTTTTTTTTTTCACATTAATATTTGGAACAAACTTTATTAATGCTAGTAGGCAAAACAGTTTGTTGTAAATTATATTAGTTGTACCAGTATATGTACTTAATATATGAAACTAATCACTTACTAGTTTGCATATTTTGTTGTCTCAATTTATTTAACATTAGAATCTTTTGATTAAAATATATGATGGTTTACTAGTTTAATTTACAAGAAAGAAAATGACGATATTAAGTGCTGGATCTATTATGCTTGTTTCCTAGCAAAATTTATCAATTTTATGCAAATAACATTTTTGTTGAACAACTGTTTATTACTTTATTCCGATTCTATATCAAACAACCCATCAGACTATTATTGCGTAAAATTCTCTCTTGTTCAAGAGTCCATTATTGTTCTGACTCCATTTGTTGAGACAACGAGCATGTCTTTGTTCAGCTTTTTGAAGTATCTGAATGTGCTATTTTAATACTTGTCTGCTCTAATTCCGTTCTAGTAGCATGTACCAAGTTTATATTGTGCAAGATTATAATCTTTCTCGGCCGCTTGCTGAAACAATTTAATTGCTTTTTGAGCATCAACTTCTACCCCAGTTCCATTTTGATAACAGATGCCAAGGCTATATTGTGCAGGAGCATAATCTTTATCGGCGGCTTGTTTAAACAACTCGATTGCCTTTTTGACATCAGATTTTATTCCAATTTCATTCTGATAACATACACCAAGGTTATATTGTGCAGGAGCATAACCTTTATCAGCAGCCTTTTTATATAATTCGATTGCTTTTTTCATGTCAGTTTCTATTCCGGTTCCATTTTGATAACAGATACCTAAATTGTATTGTGCATCAGCATGTTCTTGTTCAGCAGCTTTTGTGTACAGCTCAACAACCTTGACAATGTTTTTTTGAACGCCATTTCCATTTTTATAGCATACACCAAGATTGTTTTGTGCATCGGCACATCCTTGGTCGGCCGCCTTTTGAAAATATTCAATGGCTTTTAGGGCATCTTTCTCTACTCCAGTTCCAGTTACATAACACATTCCAAGACTACATTGCGCATTAGCATGGCCTTGTTCGGCAGCTTTTTGGTAAAATTCAACTGCTTTGAAATTATTTTTTTCCAACCCAATTCCACATTCATAGCACAGTCCAAGATAATATTGTCCTTTGGCATGTCCTTGATCGGCAGCTTTTTGATAAAACATTACTGCTTTTTGGTCACTTTTTCCTAGTCCAATTCCATCTTGATAGCACAGTCCGAGATAATACTGTGCTTCAGCGTATCCTTGGGCGGCAGCCTTTTGATACAACTCGATTGCTCTTTGGTGATTTTGTTCTACTCCGATGCCATTGTAATAGCATACGCCTAAATTAGTTTGCGCGTAAGGATCTCCCGATTTTGCAGCGTTTTGATACAACTCGACGGCTTTTCCATAATTTCTTTCCACGCCAGTTGCATTGATATAACATAAACCAAGATTGCATTGTGCGGCAGCGTGACCTTGGTTGGCCAAGTTCTGGTACAATTCAACGGCCTTTTTCGGATCCTTTTTCACTCCGATTCCATTCTGGTAACACACACCCAAATTATACTGAGCACAAAGATCTCCTTGTTCGGCAGATTTTTGATAAAATTCAATGGCCTTTTGTTCGTCTTTCTCTACACCAATTCCGTTTGCGTAGCATACACCGAGATTATACTGTGCCTTGATGTGTCCCTGTTCGGAAGCCTTAAGATATAATTCAACGGCCTTTTGATCGTCTCTTTTCAATCCAGTTCCAGTTCTATAACAAGTGCCAAGATAATATTGTGCATCAGCGTGCTCGTCTTTAGCCAAGTCTTGGAAAGTTTTGATTGCTCTTTTTTCTATAAAGTTAAGTAGATCAAAAACGTATTGTACAAAAACCAAGAGAAACAATTGTAACTCCATCTTTTTAAACTTTAAGAATTGTTCAACAAATGTTTGCTTCTTTATCTGTGTAGGTTGCATATCGTTGCGAAAGAAAGTCAGGTCAGCAGAAAATGAATGAATAAAAAGTTGATTTCGTGGTGTAATAATGGGAATTCGTTCTGGATCTCGATTCTGTGAAAAATGAAGGAATGAAAGAATAATTCAGCGATAACTCTTTATTCTATCGAATATGTGAGCGGCTGTCAATTATATTCTTGTAGGTAAGCATTTATACAATACGTTTTTCGTTTCGTCGCCATCATTTGTTTATGACGGTGGCTTTCTATATATGCAAATTTGAAAGCTCTTTCTAATTATGGATTGTTGATCTTATTGGTGCAAAATGATCGTCACGACAGATTGATATGCATTGTTTAACGATTGATAGGCTTCCTAACGATAACAGTCTCGGTAATGTCATCATAGTATTGCCAATACGTATTAGAGCTAAGGCCTTGACGACAGATAGTTTGTCCACTTTCTTATCATAAAGGAACCAAGTCAGGTTAGTCTATTATAATTATAGTAATGCGATTCTCCGTCTGTTGCTAGAAAACTCACGATAACACAAAACGCATGTATTTAAAACTCGAGCGTTGTTTGCTAGAAAAGAACTGGTACATGATATTAAAAATACCATCAATGTTAATAACAATGAAAACTTAAAATTTTATAAACCGCATTTTTTGTGTGCAAACACGGTAAAAGACCTACAATTGACTGTAATATGATAACGATAGACGGTTACTACGGGACGCAATTGACAATATGCGTTGTCCATTTTGAATAATAGGTTTTGATAATATTTTCAAGTATTATTCACAACGTTAGTTGCAATATCTAATACGTTTGTAAATGAGGATTTATATTATATTATAACGCTTAAATAACTTGTTGTGTTCAAGTCTTTTTATAGAAAATCATACTTTTTATATCGATCAATAGACTTTGTAGTTGGAAATTTACTTATTAGATGAGCGATGTAATAGTAATAACCGTTTATGTGTTTACCAAAAATGTAAATATAATAATAAGTAATCCTCTAAACGAGTATATAATAATTGTGTTTGTGCTCACATTTTCGATTTACTTTAAAGTCGGCTACGTGCACGTTAGTAATATAGTTTCAATACCTGTCGATAGTCTTGGCATGCAAATAGTTACTTTGTCAATTTTATTATTATTACCATAGAGTATACTAAATTTTACAAACATTTGTGTATTAAAAATTGTTCTTTTTCAATTACATTCGCATGGTGCAGAAAATTACAAATTTATGTACATTGTCACATGTTACACGTATGTAGTTGGCACCTATTACCATGACCATCAGTACAAAGGGTCTTAAATGACGTAATGGCAAAAACAGTCAAACCACACATGTTGTTAATCGTTGTCCATGTAACAATCTGATTTGATGGTCGAGCTACAAACGCTATAATTATCCAATGTTAAGTTAAACTTATTTAAAATTCTTGTATTAAACAAACGGTTTCGATCAATAAACATTGGATTAGGAAAACGTAGAGTATATTACAGACCGACAAATAAAGAGGTTTGCTCAGACCAATATTGGGTTTTGATTGTTTGCTTATTTTTATTATTGACATTTGACAATCTTATTTTTGTCATATGTTTGTGCTTTAAATGTATCACGCCAACTGATGTGTTATTTATTGATATTCAGTTTGTCGGGCTGCTGTTATAAGCTAATCTTTATTGCCTAAAATGTGTAAATAAAAATTAATTAATTAATTTTCAGCGTCGAAAGCTTCAATGGTAACATCATTATTTGGTCAATAATAACATCTTCAATATCCAAGTCAATCGGGAAAGCTAAATACCTAACTGCATACTCATTTTTTACTGCTACATTATTTATAGAAATTCCGTATAGTTTGACGGTTTCATTCTTAGAACAAACAAAATTAATTCAAGCGTCAGCAACGTATAAAAAAAATTGAAAGAATGATTTAATACTTCTTGAAGATTATCATAATATATCATGTGAGAAAAAGTTTGTAATTATAATGAATTATTGTAGACTAAATAAACATTCGTTAAGAATGTTTGTACATACAAGAAATTATATTGCAAAAAATAAGTTCCGAACAAAAACTCAACAAAACTTTCATTAATTCGACAGACTAGTCATCGTACACGTTTTGCTTAAATTACAGACAAATGACATCGTATTTAATCAATTAAAACAAAAACAATCTTTAAAACTATAATTCCCAAAAATGCGAGTCGTTAAATTGTAAATTGATAGTTTCAATCAACACGTCTCGTCTTCTCTTACACTCGTCTCCCTATTTTGAACTTGGCAAACCAAAATCCGGTACGGGAGGCAATTGATGAGAATCGTAGCTGTTTCTCGACTTGGGTAAATCTCCCGTAGGCAAAAATGTACTAGAATATTTACTCGCCTTCTCGAGACGTGACAAGGGTTTTACATCAGTATGATAGATAGTATTCCACATGTTGTCATCGGAATCGTCCTTGTCCGCCTCGTCAATAAGCTCGCGAATATTATACCAAAGACTCCGTGCATCGGGACGCTTATCAGGATCAGCATCACAACACCGCTCGGCCAGTTTCTTGTATTCCTCTGGCGCGGAATCAGGCATCGATGGTCGCAGTCCATCCATAATATCGCATACCAAGCTCCTATCAAACTGCCTATCTCTAAAAGGTGGTTCACCAGTGGCCATTAAATACATAATAATCCCGAAAGAATACACATCCGCTTTCTGAGTAAATTTGTAGGTATGAAAGACTTCCGGTGCAATAAACGGCAAAACGCCTCGAACGGTTGAATTTGACTCGCGTGAATTCACCGACTGTGATAGACCAAGATCGCATATGAATGAGTCACTATCGTGCAACACAATGTTTCCGCTATGAAGATCACAATGCACTAATCCTTCAGCATGAAGAGTATACAGATAATATGCGATATTCCATAAACGCTCTAATTTCATCTTCCACGTCAATTTGTTAATATGTTGATCCAAATAAGACAAAAGACTACCGTTGTTGGCATATTGCATAACAATCATGTACTCGTCTGTTTCTGGGCCTTGTGTGACTCCGTAAATTTTAAGAAATGAATTATCATGATACAGACTCATGCACTTGGCATGATTTCTGAACTATAAATATTAAATGAAATAAATACGGCCTCGGATTAAATGTCGATTTAATTAATACTACCAATTATTATTATTGTTATTAATGCTCACCTCGGAGATAAATAATTCCGGTGTTTCGTCAAAATTCTTAAACTTTTTGAGTACAACAGTTTCCTCCATATCCTCTTCTGCTGAATAGTTTCTATATTTGGCAGTATAAACTGTTCCATAACCACCAGATCCGATCTCTTTAATTTCATAAAAGTCGCTAGACTGCATGTATTTTACACGTTCGCTAAGTCGTATAAACCTGTCCAATATTGCGTGTACGTCGTGGTAGAACACTAAATAGTATTCCCGAGTACATAGCTCCCGAGTGATCCCAACTGTCCAAATATTCTCGGGTGTTAATATCTCTGGGTATTCCTCGGTTAGCTATAAAATACAATAATAATCTGTGTTAAATGCACTATATGCACACGTCAATTTGGCATCGTTTACACGCGAATAATTTACCTGATGAAAATCGAACAACTGATTGTTTTGTTCACCAACGATCTTTTTGAGCATCACTCTCGTCGGTTCATCCGCTGTCGGCTCTAACCAATCTGCCGTACGTGTGCATCCATTGCGTAACAATGTCATCTCTTGCACGTTTGCCAATAGAGAGTAGTCTATCCATTGTACATACGCGTCATATTCAGTCTTGATATTACTCCACGATTCCATAATAACTTGATCCAATGACTTGTTGCCTGTAGTCCAGTCAAGAGGGCGCGGTGTTTTACACCCATAACAGAATGCGTGTATCTTGGCGTTTAATGGTCTCATACACGCCAGACATGATCCGGTTTCTTCACTCTCTTTTATCAGACAATACTTTTGTTTGCTTGCATCATATGTAAAGCCGATGGTAACCCAAATACCCGCGGTAAGAATGTCTGGATGCTTCTCACATAACTAATGGAAATGATCATTACCACAAGTCAATAATTATTTAAACTATTCAATAATCATGACGCATAAGTAAATAGTTTACCTCGACATAATATAAATCATCTGTCTCGTCCGTTATCTCAAGAGTAATCAATTTAACTGGCCAAGAAGTAGGTAGATTATACAAGCATACACCATATGTCTCGAAATCAATACAATTAAATGGAATCCATTCCACATAGGAATCATTTGCTGAATTTGATAGTAATTGAGATTTTTTAATCAACTCATCGAGCTGCTTATTGTTGCTAGTCCATCCGTCGACTAATTGCTTATGCCCACAAATGCACCATACCGGGCTACACCGGAGCCTTCCACATGCAGCGCAGAATCCATATCGAGAGTAACAGTGGTAAAACTTTCTATCAGCAACCATGTAACACTTGTCATCATACTTGGTAAATCCCATTATGAGTTGGTTGCGACTCTTGAGCCATTTGGAATATCGTCTGTATTGATTAACGTCACTGTTGTACTTGTGCGTCGGGAGTGAATAAATTCTTGCAAACTCATTCACAAGTGTTGGTCTGCATGCGTCATTGCTTCCAAGTAATAGTAGCATTATATCCGTTTCATAAGTTGTATCACCGTAACCCTCTTTTTTGCGAATAGCATAATAGACATTGCCAATTTGAGTTGACTCTATTTCACTGATTTGCGAGCAAGGAATCCATTCAAGTTTTAAGCGCTTATTCTCAAAGGAGGATTGAATCAAGTCGTCAATTACTTGATTTTGAATGTCCTTAACTAACGACATAGTTTTTGAGTAAAAGGGTTTTCAAGCAACAATCCGAAGAGCTCATTTTAACATCATATGTTACACAAAATTTGCGGCGTGTGTTTTCACTAACGCCTCGCGTATTCTTGGAGGAGGATAGGTTGTTCGTAGCCTGAAAAGAAGGAAATCTGGTTACGAGGTTGAATGTATAAGCAATATGTAGATGTGAACTAATTACAGCACCAACTGATTATGGTGATAGTGAATTGTTTATTTCATAATCGAAAGAGGGAGACGATAAGCTAAGAGAGGTGTGTGACAGTTGATAATACAAGTATAGCGCACCGGTCTGTAATTTCTACCTTACTAGATGCCTGAAGTCGTTTTCTTTCAGCAAAATTATTTGTGCGTTGGAATATTATTCCGTAATAAAAGTACCATTCTCAAGATGGTAATGGCCCTTACAAAATGCAAACGAATCAAGTCATTAGTTTTAAAAGAAGAATTCAATCTCGTATCCCATTTTTTATTCACCAACTGGATCATGTTCTTACCACGGTCAATTGCAGCTGCCAACAAAATTAGTCTGAATCTGGTTCAGAGAAAAAATATTGTTTCCCGTGCAATGCTGCGTTTGCCAATGCTCCTGACATCAAAATAAGTGGAAGAGGTTTTTTCGATTTTACCGCTCTGCTCATATTGAACAACATGTATGAAAGAGACCAGGCTATATAATCCAAGGTTTGGAACAATTAGACATGATCCCGTCCCGTTAACCGAATTTACAATCAAAAGGGAATATAATGCTCAACCTGTCGTAGTCCCCGATCCATTCGTAATGTCTCCTGTGCTCGTAATGTAACTATTTAAACAAAAATAAGATTACAACGTGCTCACAATCTATCCTGAGAAAATCACATAAGTGACTCACCCAGCACCCGCGAATATAAAACCGAATGCAGACAGTTCAAGAAGGGAAGGTACTCCAGTGAATTTCATCATCGCTGCAGGAGTTGAAGCGAAACCTGGTGTGAGGTTAAATTAGTGTTGAATAAGAGTAAAGAGTAATAGCAAGGATCTAACCGTGTCGGCTATAGAGTGCAACTGTGAAATCGTCACGACAATGAATTGAATGTACATAGAGCGGACATAGCCCAGGCTGAATATGGTGTTTTAGCTAAGACAGAGTAGAAAGAATCTCTGTTTGCTTTTGAGAGAGTTTTCGATACATTGGCAGTGGTTGGAGGCGAGTTTGCCGCATCTTTTTCCGTTGTCATTGTTGTATGATATACAGCGCTTGCGTTCAAAGTATTCTTTGATTTAGATCTGATGTCACATGATTTTGACCAGATAATAATAGCGTAATAAAATTACCAGTAATTGTGACTAGCATTGAGAATTTTTATGTTTCACACGACAAGAGTTTATTCATAAACTATTCTTTGTACATTGCAAACATAATACATATAACTAAGTATCTTTGCACGATATAGTTGGGCACATTACAACAAGTTTACAAATTGACACGTTGCTGACAAAATTGGTTCGAAAAATGAACAAGACCAAGAATATAAACCATGCTGATGACGGGATTTATATACGGCATTACCATCTATTTCTATTATTAAGGCTAGTCAATTAGCAGTTGATATGTGTTGAAAATTGTCTCAAAATAATAATTTTAGTGTACTGAATGTAACCTGTATACATGCCAATATAAATAGCAGTAATAAATTTACCCACTATTACTATCACTATGAGAACATGAGCATGAAAATCTGTTACAAAAATAGAAAGTTTAATGTATAGCTGGGCATTACTATTACTAACATGTAACTGTGCTGATCATTGAACCTTCAACAATGTATTTATATTTAACTACAATTTATTGTTTAAGTCATAATAATAAAGATGTCTTTATTGTTTGCTAATGATACATAATAATAATATAATATTCTTACATTACTATAATATTCTATTCTAATGTGGCTCCTTTTTTATAGCATAAACCTCTGCTAATTCTTGAACACGTTTTTTTAGTTTGGAGCTATCATTATATACAAAAAAATAAACCTTGTTTTGTGCTTTAATGTACCCTTGCTCAGCTGCTTTTTGATATAATTCAATAGCTTTCCGTTCATCTTGTTTTACACCAATTCCCTTTTCATAGCACCAACCAAGGTTATATTGTCCATATGCATTCTTTTTTTCTGCTGCTCTTTGGAATAATTCAATAGCCTTTTGAATATCTCTTTCTACTCCAATTCCATTTTTGTAACATAAACCAAGACTAACATATGCATAATCATTTTCTTGCTCCACTGCTTTTTGAACATTTTTATCTACACCCATTCCATTTTCAAAACACCAACCAAGGTTATCCTTTGCAAAAGAATTTCCTTGCATAGCTGCCTTTTGATATAATTCAACAGCTTTTTGATAATCTGTTTCTATATTAATGCCTGTTCTGTACAGCCAACCAAGATTATTTTGTGCATTAGCATATCCTTGTTCAGCAGCTTTTCGATACCATTCAACAGCCTTTTGTTCATTTTTTTCTATCCCAGTTCCATTGGTATAACATACAGCAAGACTATATTGTGCACCAGCAATACCTTGTTCAGCAGCTTTTTGATACCATTCAACTGCCTTTTGTTCATCTTTTTCTACTCCAGTTCCACATTCATAACACACACTGAGATTATGCTGTGCAATTGCATGTCCTTGTTCAGCAGCTTTTTGATACCATTCAACTGCCTTTTGCTCATCTTTTTCTACTCCAGTTCCATGTCTATAACACAGACCAAGATTGCATTGTGCATCAGCATGTCCTTGTTCAGCTGCTTTTTGATACCATGCCACTGCCTTTTGTTCATCTTTTTCTACTCCAGTTCCATATTGATAATGCTGACCAAGAATGCATTGTGCATCAGCATATCCTTGTTCAGCAGCATTTGCACGTCTCTTGAAGAGAATTTCATGTGTGATAACACTCATGTTATGACTGTTTAACTATTAACAGGCAGGTAGTTATGCAAATGTAGTTACTATTACTGTTATTATTATTATTATGCTAATATTGAATATTAATATTTGACCAAATCGCAATCATTCGAAATTGTCACACAAGTGATCATCGTGGTACAGGAATCGGGGTTTGTAAATTAATACACTTTCATTAGACTGAAGTGTTTATAACAATGTATTTTTGTCTATTTTTGTTTGCAGAAAGTATTTGTTTGTTTTAATTATGCAACAAAAACATTAGTACTCATATTGCAAATACAAAAATAATTTTTTTGTATTCGCAAAGTTCACAAACTTTTCGGGTACCCTCGTGATTATTTCTTATGTGCCAGACATAATTCATTGTAAACTTTTACGAGATAATACTTTTGTCATTTATACCATATGTAAACTCAATGGTCATTCCCACATTCGTGGTAAGAATATCACATAACGATATATAATAATAAGTCAATAATTATTTAAATTGGATTATACAATAAACATGACGCACATGTAAATGGTGTAATATAAATTGTTCGTCTCATCTGTTTATTTCAACAATAGGCAACTTGACGCCATATTTTCATCGTGAGAAACAATCAGGCTTTATTATTTTCTGTAATTGAAATCTTCATAAAAAATTCATCGAGTTGCTTGTCGTTGCTACTCCATTCATTGAATTATTTTTATGACGGCAATGCACCACACGGGGTTACTTGGAAGAATTTCACATGCGGAGCAGAATTCATATCGAGAGCAACATTATAATTAGTAAGTGCGTTTATTTGGTAACCATGTAATAGTTATCATTCATACTTGGTAAACCTCTTTATGAGTCTGTGCGATTTTGAATATTTTAATCTTATGAACTGAGTACCGTCATTTTATACTGTGTGTTGAAAGTGAGCAATATACTGGCAACGCTCATAAACGTTGTGTACGAATCTTCTCTTCAAAAGCAACGGTGACATTATTCTCTCAAATGCTAAATTAAAAATAGCTAATAATATCGTTTATTCATGTCACTAGTCTCTGAATATCAGTTTATGCACATTTTTTGTGATAAAGAGATTGAATAAGGTTTCAATTGCTGCTAAAATGAACGTCACCTGTGGTACATTTTGACCCTTACATTTTCGCAATAGTTATTTTAATACAATAATCTCGACTATCTGTTTACTCGTTTATATAATATATCATGGATACATTAAGGCATTTGGGGCAAGCGTAAAGCATGTTTAATTATCAAATTGCAATTTTTGCTGGATTGCCTGGATTAGTAGTACGACATACCTTTGCAACGAATAAGTAATGTCATTGTTTCTGACGGCTACTTTGCGTATGTAAAAACAAGATTTTGCAGCATTATTTTTCTTCGTTGAGAAAAAGTTTTACATTCCACAAGAAGGTTTTCAATTCAAGTTTGTGTAAATTGCCAAATTTTCCACGTTGAGTATAATTACTCGACGGAAGACATTACATCTAAGCAGATATAAAAATGTTTGAAATAGGAATAGACGCTATTAAAAAAGAATATAATAATGCACTATAAAAATTCAGTTGTATGCGTTTTCACGCACGAATCATTGTTTTACAAGCAACCAATGTAATGTATGGAAGGGTCCGTATCATAACATCGACAATCATATACTGTACTTACCAACATTGTTTCGAATTATCTTTTTTCGTAGTTGACTGTTAGTGAAACATTTACATTTGTGAAACGATTGTCGATGTTATCTTGTATATAGAATTATCGAGAGATGAGCTACAGTATTACAACAAACGGTTTTATACTTTTGCTTCAATGTTTTCATCGGTCAGCTGATCTCACTTGATGTCAACAATTGGTCATTTTTCTGTGCTAGTCCGTATATTAAGCTGCTTTTTCGCTCCAAATGGTTAGTGTCATGGATAAGTCCTAACGGTGACGTATTCCTCCGAGATTTCCGCTCAGTTACACAAATCTCTGGTTCTGCGGTAAACGGTCAAAACGCCGACAGAGAAAACTCATTGTAATATGTTTACAATACAATCAAACATTTGTTAAAAGACAGAGCAGAGTTGTTTCGCCTTTCTTCAGTGTGTCATTTATCATCATTATGTGAGTTTGCGAATTACGACGTCGTTATAATAACGACGCTAGCATCACTGACACATATGGGGATTGATCTATGAAAATGGTGCATTCGTAAAAATAGCCGATCGTCAGAAAATCATAATTGGGCCGTTTTTATAGTAATCACCCCATTCTTATATAACCCCAAAATCTAAGTGACCAATAGGTTTTATTTACTGTAACTTCTGGCAGCGGTTTGGGGAAGTTATGTCTTTAAAAGGATCATCGACAAACCTTCTTACTTCATTATACAGATATGTCTGTCTTGTAAGTGAAATGGGTTGCAAATCTAGAGTTTTCAAAGATCAAATACAGTCAAAAAAGCGAGGCGTGTTATTGTTATTATTATCGTTATGATGATCGGCAAGGATTTTAGGGTACAGATTTCAGATTCTTCTTTTGTTGTGCTACCGAACTTAACTGCTGTTGTGAAAAACTTTACTATTACACTTGAGGGCAGGAAAAAGGCACAGGATAGATAGCATACCCAAGTATATATCCCGCAAAAAAATAATTTATCACCAACTACCCATTCTCATAGATCAGTCCCCATATGTTGTAATCATACACACCACACTGGTTTTTTTTTCCAAAAATGTTCGTTTGTAAACTACTCTCGAAAATTTGGGTAAATGTTAAATAAATATGAAATTGAACTGTTTTGTAGTGTGAATTCAAGTCACACTCACAATCAAGCAATGTCAGATATAAATATGATAGTAAATGAAGTTTTGTATATTTTCTCACAGGACGGCGGGTGACATATTATTGCTGAATGAAAAAGATATCAATTATCAAGTTAACTATTAATATAATTAAAAAAGGCCAACATTTATTTGCATTCTCTTTTGTCAGTTAACTATACAGTATTCGATAAATGTGTTAAATTTAAATCTGACCATTTTGTTACTCTCTGTGATATTATGGGGACTATGTGGTATTGAATATCATGCACGTAAACCTTAGTGTGCTGTGATTCGAGGTTTTCAGCACACCACACTTTTTGACTATTTAAATAAATAAATATTTTATACCAATAGAGTAATAATAAATTTCGTCGTTGTATCTGTGAAAATGTTAGTTAAACTAACATATCACATTGACGGGACTCTGAGAATGTTCTTTGTTGGTATAAATTTGCTCCAATTA